CGCCGCCCTCCGCGCCCCTCGCAGAGCCCGGCCCGCGGCTGCCCATCAGCCTGGACCCGCGCGTCTCCATCTACAGCACGCGGCGCCCGCTGCTGGCGCGCACCCACGTCCAGGGCCGCGTCTACAACTTCCTCGAGCGTCCTACCGGCTGGAAGTGCTTCGTCTACCACTTCACCGTGTGAGTACTGCGGCTCCTGGGTGACGCTCCTCTGACAAACAAAACCAGGCAAGGTCGGGCCGCGAGGTCTGATCCCTCAGGGTCTCCGCCTGTGGCTGATGAAGCCCCCGCACTTCGCAGTAGCATGCGCGGGGATGGGGAGCCCAGAGGCGACCTCCTGGGACCCGCAGTCAGGCGCTAGTCCTTATGAGATAGGACTTCTGGCGCGGTGGACTCATTCCCCGGGGACAGCTGCGGACGGGCCCACAGGGGAGGGTGCTCTCCGGTGGACAGCGCCACCCGGGACCCTATGCGAGTCCCTGGGGCATGGAGGGGGCACTGTGGGTTTTCCCTGGGGTCAGCACGGGGTTGCAGGGCCACCCGCTAACTGGCTGGGCCAGCGCCTTGCTCAGGAGAACTGATTGTCCCCCGGCAGGCAGGAAGGGGCGCCAGCTTGCCGGCCTTGAGCTGGGCACAGGTGTGCTCGCAGGGAGGGCAGGGAGCTGCACCTGGCCTTGCGGTGCCCGGCAGGTGATTCTCATCGCAGCTCCTGAATGGGGCTGGACTCTTACACGGGCGGGTCGGGCCACTCACCCCGGCCGGCTGGCCTGCACCCTCCTCTCTGCTGGCCCAGCCTGTGATCCTTGGCTCAGCGGGTCCCCAGATGCTGCTCAAAGAGGGGTGTCCTCTTGAAGCCTGTGTCTGGGTGCTCGGCTGCCTGGGCATGGTCAGCTGAGCTGGGGTTCTGGGGGCTCTTTCCCCTCTGTCACAGACAGGTTCTTGAGGTGTGCGGACAGGGGGGGCTGCTGGAAGCACCACCTCCAAAGGCAAGAGGGGGGCAGGAGGGGGAAGCTGCTGGCTTCCTTCTCCGTCACTCCTTTCTGGGCACATGGGGTGTCGGGGTGCTGCCTCCTGAAGAGAGGCCTTGGGGACCAGTGTGGCCTCTGTCCAGGCACCCTTGCTGGGATGTTGGAAGTTCCGGAATCTCGGCAGGTCTGGCTTTGGGAGTTTGACATGGACCGCAGGCCCTGGGTAGGCTTGTGGGTGTGGCTGTGGACCCCAAGAAGCCCTCCTGAGGAGGAGGCCCTGGTACCAGTTCTGGGTGGTCAGGCAGGCCTGTCACTGGCTGGGACTGCGGTGCCGAGGGCGTGTGTGGCAAGACCCCCAGAGGGCAGCTGTGGCCAGGGCCCCACCGGTTCCGTCTTGAGGATGTGGCCAGCAGCCGGCCGTGCTTGGCTGGAGGAAGCGGGCTGGCGACAGCGGAAGTTCCCGCTTGCGCGCTGTTTTCTTCCTGGCTGTGATTGTTTTGCTCTTGGACGTCGGCATAGGGGCAGGGCAGGGCCGGGCAGCCTCTGGGCTTCCCCAGCGTGGTGACCTCGGCCCGCCTCCTGCTCATGGCTAGTGATGGCCAGGGACACACTGCCAACGTTCCCTCCAGGCTGCTGCCAGCCCTCTGAGGGCACGTCTGGTCTGAGGTCCTGTGTGCTGTTCCTCAGCCCTGGTCTCCTGTGTGCAGGGCCCTGAGGCCACCTTGGAGCTGAGACTGGGGTGCTGAGATGGGATGACTGGAGCGGAGCGGGAACGGAAGTTGTCAGCATGACCTGAGTGGTTTTCTCTAGAGGAAAGAGCGGTGGACTGCAGAGGACAGGGCTGGACTATGAGAGCTAGGAGCAGGGAGCTGTGGGGTCCACCCCCTGGGAACCCCTGTCCAGCTCTCCCTCCACTTGTCTTGGCTGTCCACGGCTGACATCCTGCCTGCTGCCCAGTCCCAGCTCTGTCTCTCAACTTCATGTGCTCACCCCAGGGCTCCTGGGAACAGACCCCTTCGCCCTGAAGGGGCTGAAGACGTGGTGAAGCACTCTGTTTACAGTGTCCCTTGCTGCAGAGGACCCAGGGCTTAGGCAGACCCATGGCTGGGGGCAAACACAGGGCTGGGCAGAGGGACGCCCTCTGGCTTCAGTCTGGGGCAGAGCCGTTGCCCACACTCTGCCCTGCTGGCCTGGGGACTAAATGCCAGGATCCCGGGTTGAGGTTGGGCAGGCGCTCCAGGACCCCACCCCGCAGACAGGCTTGGAAGTGGAGGCTCCCAGTTCCAGCAGCCCTGGTGACCCGCCTCTCCTTCTCCCTTCTCCCTCAACTTCCCTTTCTCCAGCCCCTTCCCCTGCTCCCCTCATTGGACCCCCTACAGTGACACCTGAGCTAGCCCTTCTCCCCTCTGAGCCCCTGAGCTCACTGGCCCTTGTCCACTCTGTGCCCCCCTTGGGGGCCTCCGGGACGGGACGCTGGGAGCAGGGGTGACGAGGACAAGGACGGGTGTGGACAGGGAGGGCTGAGTTCCTTGTCTGCCCTCTGCCTGGCCTTCCCCAGCTCCCAGGAACTTTCAGGGGAGTTTGGCGGCACCTTCTTAGCCCGTGTTAATCATTTATGGCCATAGAGTCTGGCAGCCCTGGTGGGTCCTGTTTCCCTTCCTGACGCTGGAGGCCACTTACAGGCCATAAGTACAGGCCTGAGAGGGGCTGGGCTCGGGCCAGAAGGGTGGGCTAGAGGTGAAGAGAAGGCTGCCTGGGGAGGGGGCCATGGCCGGGGTCTGCTGGGATGTGTCCACGGCTCCTGTCATCTCTGGATGCCTGGCCCATACGTGTGGGATCCCCGACCTTACAGCCGTCATGTGGCCATGCCTGTGGCTGGTCCTCTAAGACAAGGCCCTGCATGTGGGTCTCAAGCTGTGTCCCTGGCCCTGTTGACCCTGGTGGGCTGGCCGGCCCAGTGGGGGCCTTGGCTGCCTGTCCTTTTCAGGGACAGGGACATGCACATTGCTGACCACCTGGCCTGTCCTCAGACCTGTCTGCTGTGAAATGCCAAACCCCTCCTCCCTGTACTCTTGCCGGCTTCTTGTCCTTGGACCCCATAGGGAAAGACCTGAGGGCACAAAGTGACACGAGGGTTGCACATCCCCTGCGTCTGCCTCCTCCCCGTGTGCAGAGGTGGCCTGGGGCTGGGTGTGAGGCCTGGCTTAGCGAGCACTGCCCTGGCGTGGCCGTGCTGTGAGAACGTGGACCAGGAGGGCGGGCGCTTTGGTTACAGTCACACGGCTGCCGGTGGTTTGCAGTGTTGTAGATGAGCAGCAGTGAGCTTCAGGGTGCTGGGGGGTGTCTTCTGTGGAACCTGCAGGCCCCACCCCAGTGCTGGGGATAATCACCCCAAATGGAGCTGAGTCCTGCCTGCTTGGGTTCATGGGACAGCAGAGGGGTGATGGGTGGGAGCACAAGGCATGGCCAGAACTAGCTCCCTGGGGCTGGTGAGAGTGGGCATGCCATTGCCCTCAGGAGAGCTGTGTCCCCTTGTCCCCCCCTCGCCGATCTCCGGGGAGTCTGTCTTGTTCCTGAAATAGCCCTGCCCTCACACGTGGGTTTCCCAAGAACAGAGATAAGGTTGTGCTGAGCCTGGGATGCTTGATCCTGGGTGGTGTTGAGGATACCGTCCCCTCCGCTCCCACTAGCTCCGTGGGCCTGGAGCTGACAGCGGTCCATGTCTTCATATGTGTGCTTCTGTGTGTCAAAGGGGCAGGGTGGTGGCTGAGGTCACACTGCATTCTCTCCACCTGATGACATCTGCTTGTTTGCATGACCCCTGCTCCTGCCTCGAACCTTCAGAGGCTCAGGAATCTGAAGCCGATGGCTGCCGTGGATGAAGGAGGGGCCTGCTACCCATCCAGGGTCAGCGTGGCGTATGGGTCCTGGAGCAATGGGCGGGTGGATGAACAGAGAGATGGATGGATGGATGGAAGGAAGGAGAGGAGCGATGGGTGGGGGGTGGTATAAGGATGAATGAAAGGAAGGAGGAGAGAGACAGCAGTGATTGTATGGAGAGACGGATGAATGGGGGGATGGAGAGAGAGGGATGGAGGGACTGGATGAAGGGAGGAAGAAACAAGGAAGGAGGACTGGATACGTGGGTGGATGGATGGATGGATGGACAGGTAGATGGATGATGGATGGGTGGACAGGTAGATGGATGAGTGGGTGGGTAGCTGGCAGATGGATGGATGGACGGGCGGATGGATGGATGGACAGGTAGATGGAGAAATGGGTGGGTCGCTGGCAGATGGATGGATGGACGGGCGGATGGGTGGATGGATGAGTGGGTGGGTAGCTGGGTGATGGATGGATGGACGGACAGACGGGTAGATGGGTGGACAGATGGATGAGTGGGTGGGTAGCTGGCAGATGGATGGACAGATGGATGGATGTGTGGACAGGTAGATGGATGAGTGGGTGGGTAGCTGGGGGATGGATGGGTGGATGGACGGATGGACAGATGGGTAGATGGATGAGTGGGTGGGTAGCTGGGTGATGGATGGGGAGATGGTTGAATGGTGATAGAAGTCGGGGAGTGGATGGACTTTGTGGAGGTAGGTGAAGGGAACAAGAGAGACATGGCTTTGTCGACAGGTAGAGAGATGGAGGGATAGTGAGCAGAGGGGCAGGTATACAGGGAGAAAATGGGGATAATGGAGGGAGGGATGGGAGGACATAAAGGATAGATGGTGGGTGGTGGGTGAAGGGAGGGGGTGGCTGGGCATGGACAGGTGAGTGTGATGGATGGGCACGTGCTGATGGATGGAGAGAAGACAGGACGCAGAGACCCTGAGTGAGTGGATGGTGGGTACATGACGGCTGGACAATGACATGGCCAGGTGGCTGAAAGCACACTAGTGACAGCCCCTGCCCAACACAGCACTCAGACTGGCAGCTGTCATGGTCTGGAGGCAGGAGGGGCCTGGCCCTGAGTACTGGGGGTGGTCTGCTCTGGTGTCCTCTCTTGTGGCCTCCACAGGTGGCAGCATCTGCTGGTCCTGGAGGTGATCAGCTCACTGCATCTTTTTGCAACCTCACAGTGACCCCTTCCTGGCTGTGAGGACCCTACAGTGTGGTCTGCTGCCGGTTCAGGTGCTGGTCACTTGGGTGACTGACACCAGGGCTGCCTGGTCACTGTGGGAAGGTGGGTGTGGACAAAAAGAT